TGGTTTTGTAATGTTATACGAACTACTTTCTTCTCTCTCTCTCTCTCTCTCTCTCTCTCTCCTCTATTCCTTTTCTTCTTTATTCTCTTTCTTTTTCTCTTATTAAGTATTTCTGTAACAACGAAATTAAATTGTGTTAAATTATTTTCTATAATGATTGACGTAAACGTGCGACTAAAGGGATTAAAATTTCATTTCGTTACGTTCAAAGGTGACATACATTTCGTAACATGTATGTTACGAAACAAATATGCAAATAAACGTATAAAACATTTGATTGAATGTTTAATTCGATCGAAATATTCTTATGTTAATTGAATATATGTGTTCGTTACGAACAATTGATTTTATATAATTTATATATTTATTTAATAAAGAAGATAAACGTGTTATGACATTAAAAATTTGCATCAAAAATAACATATATTTGAGTTTGTTCCTGTTACTCAGCATTTTATCCTCAACTTCTTTCTCTATTTGTTTTTGCTACCAGCGTGTTATTGCAAAAAAATGGCTTTTTATTTCAAAAACACGTATGCAAATTTATTTACATTTTTTGCTGCAATTTTTGTTAAAACGCGTTTCGCTTATCAAATTAATAAGCTATATATTTAAATAATATTGCAAGAAATCTATACAGATTTCCGACATTTTTGCATAAAAAATAATTAATAAATAATTATTGTTCTAAATAATTTTGATTATTATTTCACTTTTTTATAATTATGCATTACACTTTAAAATAAAAATAGAAAAAAGTATTCTTTTTTTTTTTTTTTTTTTTTTTTTTTTTCTTTAAATCAACTTTACAACTTTTTTTGTCAATCGGCAAAGTAATACAATAATATAATACATAGATTTTTTTGAATAAGAATTAATTTGATTTAATTCTTACAATTGTTGAATTCATAGATATAATCAATGATGTAAAAATATATAAATAATTAAATGTATTTAATATGCCCAATTAAGACACTTATAAGCGTTAAAAGATTAAAGGAAATCTTACATACATATTTATATATATATATTTTAGTTCAAAGTATCGAACACCATTTTTATATCATTTATATTCGATGTAAATGATAGATCAACACGATTCAAAACTGGTTTATACATGCGCAGAGTTTAGCGAAAAATTAGCCATTATCGAATATAACATAATGAGGTAACACTGTTTAACGTAATTTTTCATTTAATGAAAATTAATTTATTATAAAATAACGTAACCTCTTGTATGGGATGATTTGAACAAATTAAATCGAGTAAGAAATTTTTTTTAAAACAATTTACTTCTCTTTTAAATAAAATTATTCTTCTTATAAAAATAAGAAAAACCAAGCATCTTAAATAATTTTTTATTTCATTTCAAGTGAATGATAAAAAAAAACTCTGCCTTAACTTAACAACCAGGAATTGTGACTAAAATTTTAACATAATTCCTTTTCCGAATGATAGATTTGCTCCCAATATTATGCTTCGTGCTTTTTCTCCTTTGCCTCACACTTTCCAATATTAATAACGGTTATATATTATCGCGCATGTGGCACGATTGATCAATTGTTGCTCCGCGCCTTTTCCTCCTGATAAAACATTTTTCCCGATAACCGTCATCATCCTGTTATTTGTCCACTGGTTCTTTCATTTTCAATTAACCATCGAGCATTCTATCGACGCTCGTGTCTCGATGCGATGACGCGACGATGGCCGATTTAAAAAAAAGAAACTTGCAAACGTGACAATTTCATTAAAACGGAATCCGCGATGATCATCGCGTGAAATTCGACGACCCGATTCCGCTCCACGAAAGACGATAATTGAGAGTATGCATTAATTCACCGCAGACTCAATTCCTTGCCTAACCTTAAAATTCTTGCCTCAAATCGATAGATCAGCACTTATCGTTCCACTTATCTTTTCATTACTTCGTTTAAGCGAATAATCGAAAATAATTGTTTCTCTTTGTACTTGTGCTTTTGATTATTGCATTATCAGATGCGAATGAATATTTCATTGGATGCACGCAAAAATAACAAAATATGGAACAATGGACGGATGCAATAATTAACATCGAATTAATCATATAATTAAATCATGCATAACTATGTATAGTATTTATTCTATACATATTGTCGCATCTTTATTTAAGAAGTTTATATAACGTGTAACGTTTAGTTATAGAACAGATGTAGAAAGATTAAGAAATAAAATGTGAAACATCTTTAAAGGATTTTAAATGGAAGCGTAGTGCTACCATAGTAAATGTAAAGTCATACAGTCTCCAGTCATTTCTTAAAATTGCTTTAGGCGAGCTAACATTTGTATTTTTTTCTTTTTCTTTTTTTTTTTTATATACGTCGAACGTCAACATTCTTTTTCACTCAGACGCGTGTTGTTTCTCGCTCTTAGGTTAAGAAGTGGAAAGCAAACCAAAAATGCGATAACGTAGGCAGTTCTTAGAATACCTGCTTTTTTTTTTGTTGGCACAAGAATATAACCACAACAAGTTTGTTTAACTACTTCATAGAGTAGTTGGAAATATAAGATTTTATATTTGTTGATACAAAGGTTGACGTAAAAGATGACAGTTAGTGAAAAAAGTAAGAGAAATTAAAATCAATTATTGAAATTTATGTCGTATTGTTTCATAATATGTGACATTATTTCACTGGGTCAAGATTTCTTTTCAATAGTGGGGTTCTTAAATATATAAATACCGCTGAATCTATATAATAGCTGAACATACTTGAATAGAGAACATTATTTTTGCATAGTTATTTGTATCTTAACTTCGTATAATATATGGTAATATTTATATTTTTATTTTGATACTTATGCTTAGTGGATATTCGATTATATATAAAATTTTAAAAATACATTTTTTTTTAATAATCGATAAAAATATACACATACATATATATATATATTACAGATATATAATGGCATACTTATAAGTAATATAAACAATACCAGTTAATAGATTAGAGATATATAAAATTTAAGTGTACAAAAATCTGCACAATAGAGATGACAACGTATAAAAAACAAAAAAATATTCCAAATATCCAAATAATGTGTATTATAATTAATATTCGAAGAATAAAACAAATATTTGTTGCTACAATTTCAAATTTCTTTAAAGTTAAAGGAATAAAGTTCATTCTTGTTTATAAGCCTGACTTTTTTAATCACAAGAATTTAATTTTATATGAGCTTGTATATCACGATTACTAACAATTATTGGTCATCATTTGATAACATTCGTTATCACTATTGTACGATAATACTGCATGATGATACGCAATAATGGTATATACGCAAAGGAAATAAATGGACATCTCGTATTTCACCAATGGAACTTCCTTAAAAAGGAAGTCAAGTAACCTAACCTGTTATTGCATCAACGTTCGTCAACATTCGGCAATACAACACATGCCCTGTGCTCGTATCTTGGGCAATTAGTCGTAAGTCGCGGTCACGACTTCGGTTTTGTCTTCATTCTCATTCTCGTTTTCGTTTTCGCTAGGATTGCGAAGAATAGAAGAGGAGAGAAAAAAAAAGAAAAGAGGGAAACGACACGGTAGGAAGATTCTGAAACTTCAACGATCATACAACTTCTTCAAACGATTTATCGTTTCGTCGATGCTACTTTCTCGAAAGTTAACCGACGACGTACGACCCGGAAACGCGTTGGAAAATCCGTACGAGCGCGTTTAAAAGGCTAAGCGATCGATGCGCCTCTGTGGAGACCGCTGTTACTTACGCGCTGCGTAAAACGAATGGATTTCGCGCGCATTTGTCCACGTTTACTTTGCACGATTCCCGTGATCTTTTCAAGAAATTTACGTTCGACGATTCGTAAAGAATTTACATCGTGATTCATAGAATAGAGTCGCTCATTTAACGACGACTTTTTTGAAGATATTTTTATCCAAATAAAATGTATTTAAATTTTCATAATTTGTTATATTTAAAATACGCCTATTGCGTATGATGTAATCATAAATTTATTTATTATAATTATTATTCCAATATAAATATTCTTCTTTTTTCGATATTCCTATTTCTTCCTAAAGAATCGATTTTTCGAATTATATCATATTCATCCTCCTATTTTTTTTTTTAACTACTTAAGTCAAAATCCCTGTTATTATTAACACTCTCGTGTTTCTCTCCCATTTTAAACAATTCTTTCTATCCAAACTTGTTTTAATTATCCTTTAACGATTATTTTCTCAAATAATATTCGTCGCAAATATTATTATCCGTTCGAAGTTGTCTCAATAATCGTGAGATAAAATGAATTGAATATGAATTCTTAAAATCTTTCTGTTTGATAACTAACATCGAATAAAAGCGTGAACGAGGTTTCGTTTTCGTTTTTCCAGATCTCGGCCAGAATGACAGCCATAGTGACAGATCTGGTGCACGGGTACAGGGATCTGATGGATAACAAATCAGGTAAGAGAACTTTTTCCTCTCCTTTGGTGTATTAATCAGATTCGCGGTTTCAAAAAGGGGGTAAGAGAGCGTGGCTCGATCGGTTCCCCTGGGGTCTACGGCATTCAAGTGGGTCAGTCTGGTGCGAACGTACTGAAAATCAAAAAACGAGCGGCCGCGACAAAACCAAGTAGGGTAACATTTTTCTCCAACGATCTCGCCATTGTGAACGATACTGGGAATGCGAATAAAATCGTATAAAACGAGGCCTCGATTCGATTTTTTTTTCTTTTTTTTTTTAAATTCATCCGAAAATTCTGAGTTTTTAACGAAACTTATATACGTAGAATGGAACAATTTTCTTATCTTCTCTTCTCAAGAAGCGAAATCGATATTTTTCCATAAATCCTGAATATTTTTTCAATTTTAAAGTCACGCTCTATTCTACAAAGTTTAACGAAACGAAAATCAGTCGAAACTTTCGAAGCCTTCGTTAAAAGGCTTATCTAGAAATTAAAAAAATACTCGAATTTGTCTGCTTTTGTAACGATCCACTAATTCTTAGAATTGTTGTGGAATTCGAGGCAGATGTCATTTTTTTAAATACTTTTTTTATTATATTGTTACAAGATTGCCAGAGATGAAGATTAAAGTGATACAAACACGATTACATTGATTCTCATATTGATTTCAAATTTATTGTAAAATGATCTCGTTGTATATACTCTGTTCTTGTCTTATCCGCGGTATTTACTTCTCACGTTTCCCTCCAAGCACAACGACAAAACGAGTGAGGACGAGTTTATTCTTGAAAATGTGGCCAAATAAAATTGTAAACGGTATTAGCCACACTGTTTTACAAATATTACCACTTTCGTTTGAACTAAAAAATGAATTTCTAAAAAAAAAAAAAAAGAAAAAACAAATGAAAAGAAATTATTTATCACGTGAAATGAACGTATAAATTTATTTTTTACCAGATTCATAAATTTGATAAAATTGCTTTTTCGTTCATTCATAAAATATTTCTTATCGATTATAATATTATTTTCGATCTCAGCTTAGACACAACACAATTTTCACTTTCGATTAATTCGATTAATACAAGTATAATCAACAAACAAACGATCAATGAATATTTATTACTTTTTCTCTTTATTAAAATTTTCGTAACACGTTGATTGAAAAGCATTAATCGCTAAACCATCTGCTGACACAATAACCTAATTCCCCTCAAATGCAACGAGTGTATCGTGTATACACACCAATAAATCGATTTCACTCGGTCGCGATCGGTCGACAAACAAATTTCAGAAACGTGTGTAAACGTGCAATCCCGGCCGTGTAATTTTTTAGAGGAGAAAAAAGAAAAAAGAAAAAAAAAAAAATTCAACGAAATCATGATAATCCGTTTAACGAATCGTTTATTCGCGAGCGATGAAAATGAAGAAATGCGTCGACGAATAATTTGCTTTCGTAATATCTTTCGAACGAGGACACGGGTCTATATACATATCCGCGATTGGAAGAGAGGCGCGACGTGTTGTTATAGAGGTGGCGTATTTGTCGTGTATATATTTTCAAAATGACCTCTCGCTTCATGAAGACGCGTGTGTCAACAAAGTGTCGTAACGTCGTTTCCATCTCGTTCCCAATTTCCCTACTGATCCTCTCGAAATCCTTGAACCCCATTCAAACTTCCTGGAGTCTTGAGCCGTGGTTATTGGCCAAAGGCAAAAAAGAACGACGCGTCAGCTTTTCCCATACTAAACGATTCATACGTCCTTTTTCGTCGCTTTTCTCGCCGATTTCTTCGACCATTCTCTCTTCAGTTTTTGCTGCTATTTTTGCTCGTGAGAATTATGTTTGGCTTTATATCGATTTGTTTTTTTTTTTTTTTTTTAATTGAATAAATTGCCAATTATTTCTTATATAGTTATTCTTATCGAGTTGTTTTTATCTGGAAAATGTATTTGTATTATTACGTTATATTTTATGAGAGATAAAATGAGAAAATAAAAAGTATATATATAATTCACTAGTTTATGCTTCAAATTCCAAAATAAGTTACCTTTGATATCCAAATCACTAATTTTTAACTCTTTATTTAAGATCGTAAGAAATTATTATTTGAAATTTGCAAAATTTTGTATACGTGTGCGTTATTTAATTATCTGTTTTTAAAGTAGGCATAATATCGTCCATTAAAGCCACATTTACGTAAATAACTTTGAATTTTAACAATTTAAACAAATTCATTAAAGTAATCTATGTAAATTAAACTTTCAATCGATTTTCAATTCTATTTTAATTAAGTCAAAAAGCTTATTATTAATTTTTATTCGAAAAATCGAGTGCATCACAAAGAGAATGAATTTTAGAAAAAATTATATATATATATAAATCAGGATTGTAATAGATACAATTTGAAAAAAAAAGAAAAAAACTTCTTTACAACGTCGATGATGGAAATGGAATATAATGGATCGTGAGAAAGTGTACGCGTGTATACGCCATACGTTGAAGAGTACGTTGAACAATCGTTTAGATGATTACGCTAACTCACGGTTTCTAGGGTTTACTCGCCTTCGTGAATTGATTCGTGGATATTCGAAGGATGACGTGTGTAACCATTACAAGAGTTACGAGCCGTTTAAGGGGGCTCAAATTGACCATTTCTCTTTTCTACACGCTACACGGTACGTGGGTTATCGATTTAATATCAGGCAGCCCAGCAGGCCGTGTTTTCCGCTAATTCTCTCTCCATAGTGTAGACGCCTTATGCCCGATTACATCAATCCCTACTCGAATCCGTTCTTCCATTTACATCCTCGTCTTCATTCGGTTTAAACGTTGCCCCCCTTCCCTCTTCCCTTTCTATCCTGTGTAATAACACAACACGAGAAATTTCAATATGCTTTTCAATTGATTCAAACTTGAGTAAAGAGTTTTTATCGACGAGATATTTATCATCTTTCAAAGTATAATTGCCTCGAGTTATCGAAACACTCGAGGTGAGAATGGAATGCGTCTTCTGGAATGGGATCTTAATTGCGTGATTAATTGGAGACTTTTTTATCTTTGCATCTCTCGAATAGCCAAAGTGGCCAATTCTCGCTTAAGATTGTGTTGTAACCGAAAATAAAAGAAAAAATAAAAATAAAAAGAAAAAGACAAAACGAGTCTTCTTTCGATGGAAAATGTATCCTTGCAAGAGAGTGTGTGTCCGCCGATGTGCATTCTTGCGGATGTGTTCCAGTCATGTGAGACGCAAAGGTAATTCAGCGGAAGTTTTCTTCTCTCTCTCTCTCTCTCTCTCTCTCGTGTCTTTTCGCGAAAGGTTGAATAAAAAATGCTTGAGAAATTTATCCAAGCTGACGGTTAACACCGTCAGAGAAGAGCGGACATGGAGCCATGGACTGAATTTTCCACGCCCGAGAATTCTCTCGTCCCGTCTGACTCTCTCTCTCTCTCTCTTTCTCCGTGCCTCTGCGTTGTAAACGAATCGGCTGGTTTATTGTCGCGATTCGTCGACCATGCGCGCGCAACGTGTGAACGTTGTGCGAAGAACGAATAGAACAATATATGGATAGACGAGAAGTTGCGTGCGCACCGCGAGATATTCGTATATTTCGACGAAGAATTTTTTGGGAAATTTGTACTTTTCGTTTTCATTCTTGCGATTTGAACAATTCTAGAGAGGGTTTGATTTTAAAAAAAAAAAAAAAAAGTATAAATAACGAGAAGAGAATTTTTATATTTTTGCATAGATCGAAAGCAGGGAGTGGGGAGGAGACGCTCGAAATATTTCGAAAGCGAAAAGTTTCGAGCTTGAATCGGTAGAAAAAATTTTTTACGAGTTATTCGTTCGTGTAAATTTTATTTTTTTTATTTACGAGTGTCGGAGAGAACCACGAAAATATAATAATAAAGTTTCGATGATGATTAACTTGTTGTTGTGAGTTTCGAAATATCATTCCGTGCAAATTATTTCGTTTATTTATTATTTACACGGGTTTTGAAAGTTTAAAATCGTGATAAAAAATAATAATAATAATAATGATAAAAAGTTCCGAAATTTTTTTCGAGATTTCAAAACCTCGAAACTTTTTTAATTTCGAACCGTTTCGAAGAGAGTTTGTCGAAATATATTTTTTTCACGATTGTAATTTCAACGCCGATCTTGAGAAACATTGTAAACAGATATATTACATCTATATTTATTCAGGTCGAAAAAATGTATCGTGTACAACAATTACGAGGGAAAAGTTTTACCCTATACTTTTGATCCATTTCGTCAATTAGTAGCTACAGGAATAGGAACATTTTTCTTCCTAGTTATTTGGCGGATGAATAGGGACGAGTTTTCCTTCAACTTACTATATCTATATGTACATTTATATTATGTACATTTGAAAGTAGCTCATAGAGAAACGAGCAGAAACGAGCTCCGTCGTGGGGGCCAGACCATCGAATTTTTCAGCCTCTCAGAGTGTTGTAATAACAAGATGATGTGTCTCGAGTAAAGGGATATTATTTAATTTCGCTCGAAATTTTCCATGACAAAAAAAAAAAAAATAATGATAATAATAATAATAATAAAAAGATAGAAATAAATAATAATTTTAAATATTACAACAAGAAAAAAGAATATTATCTCCTATTCACGCGGTATGCATTTCAATCTCATGCGCATATAACAACACATTATTGATAAATTTCCATTCGCCTTCTTGAACTTGATGAATCAAGTTTGCTCTTTATTTCCATCATATGCGTCAAATACCTTTTTTTCCGAGATATTTTTTCGATGGAATAAAAAATTGATGGAAATAGAGGGGGAGGGGGGAGGGGGGAGGGGGGAGAGGGCGGAGGGAGGGAGGGGAGAGAGAGAGAGGAGGGAGGGGGG